GCTCCCCCCCCCGCGCGAACGGAGTGGAGGAGCCCCTCGCTTCTCCGGGTGGGGAGCGGGAGGTGATGCTGTTCCGTGCAGGATGCGCCGCACTGGTGTGTTTTGGGGTGTAATAAGCTCTCATGTGGCTCTTAAAAGTGCTCGTATCTCATGAAATCTCTTGCTATCCCTAATCCCCTGTGTCTAAATACGCCTCTGTTGGTGTGAAACTTTACAGCCCACAAGTTCAAGGCTTGCTGCCTGATAATTCAAAATGTCAGGAGCAGAGTCTTAACCCTTTCTCTGTGTGGAATCACAGAGTCATTGAGGTTGGAAGAGACCTCCAAGATAATCCAGTCCAACCTTCGACCAAAGACCACCATGGCCGCTCCACCAAAACCCAAAGTGCCACAGTCTACTTGGGTTTTTTGACATTTCCAGGGATGGTGACTCTATCACTTCCCTGGGAAGCCTGTTCCTATGCTTAACCACTCTTTCAGTGAAGAATGTTATTTTTCTTCTGAAATGTCTGTGTGTATCACCAGATATTCCACATAACCCACCCCATGGTTATAGATCTGTGTATCAAACCACATGTTTTTTACCTATGGTTATGGCCAGCTGAAATGTCAGTTTACAATAAAATTAATTTTCTAGCCAGGACTCTTGTCATACTTTGGGAAAGGCTTTGCATGTTTTGACATACAAAGAATTGTGACAGATAATACAGCTTTCGTCAGTGATTTAGTAAAAGCATGCAACCGCTATCCGAAAACATCTCCATGAAAATCTAATAAACTCCTCATGTGAGACATTAACCTCTTGCGTTACCATTTTATTCTTTACGTACTGAAACATTGCCATAGTCCTCAAAAAATACTACAGTTAATAATTTACAAATAAACAGTGAAATGATGTGTGGTTATATGTCAACTAAGGACCAAATTAGGACTGATGTAATAAAACAAAGGTAAAGGCCTTTCTATATCACATGAATCATGATGTATACAACCTTTGGAGTTCAAGTATGCAACACGTTTTGTATCTCACTTTTTTCTTTGTGCTTCTCTGTTCTGAACGGACAATAATGTTACTGCATTTGCCTTCTTTATTGAACAAATATTTCTGCTGAACATTTCTTAAATCGAAATCCAATGTTGAAAGCTGTTCAGCCCCAAAAAATATGACTAAAAGCTAGAGGCCTCTGCCAGATTCATGATTTCAAAATGGTGTCTATATAATGTCAAAAAGAACAAACAGTAATTGACTGGCAGTTGATTTAATAAAAAAGCTGTTTGGAATTTTGTATCCATCACTCTCACTAATTACAATCCATCATCTAAGAGCTCTGTTGGCTTTGGAGGCCAGTTCAAGCTTTGTTGCAGTAAGATTAGACTTTATCACATCTCACCATATCACATTTTATGTTTATTTGAATTATGCTACATTTGACCTCATCACTCGATGTTTTTCTTTTTCACTTGTTTTATATTAATATTTTTGTGCTATTAATTAATCTTTTATGCAAACACAGCCACCCACTTCTTTGAGCACGGCTATCAAGTGATTCTGCCTCCAGTTTTCTGGCACTGTGGGTTGTTTGGTCACTGTATTGTGAAAACACGTGTTTGTATACCTAGGTTTTAATTGTGCCCAAGTTAAAGTGAAAAGGAAAATCATACTGGCTGCAGGATCAGGCCCTCAATTCTAACTCCCTGTGTACAGTATTAGGCCTCATGACACTGTGGAGAATGAACTCTGAGAGTTTTGGAGTGTGATCTGAAGTACTACCACTGGACTAATACTTTAGCATAAAAATTAAAATACCACTGAATTGACAAACTCCAAGCTTCAGAGTTCTGGCTGGTAGAAGTCCCAGTCATTTTTATTTTGCCAGAAACAAGAAAGGGATGGCAACAGGCAGATGGGATGACAATATAAGGTTTTCCCTCTTTTTTGGTATGGTTGTCAAATATAGACATGATACCTAAGGAAAGGCAAGATAAAATGGAAGAGAAGAAAAACCTTAACATGGAGGACAGGACAGAGCTTTGGGCTGCAGAATTACAAAGGTAAAGAGACTAAGGCTATAAAAAATGATAGTCACCAAAAAATGTTAGAAATAGGATATGATCTCATGTAACAGAAATTTCTTCCTCAACATCCCCTTATCATTTATAGCATATTGAAATCTATAAATTAACATCTAGCTTTAAAGGCAAAGCAACTGGCAAAGATTCTTTGCAAGATTACGCAGTACATGTAGGTTTCATCATAATTTTCATCACAAAATTTATATTATCAATTCCTTTACACGTCTTCTCAGCCTGACTTTTTTTTCTTTCTCTGTTTTTCTCTCCAAAAAGGACATGAAATGGATTCAGACTGTCAGATTTCTATCAGATTTTACTACTTGTGCAGAACATATATATATATTTTAAAACCCTGTTCATTAAAATTTCCAAGAGAAATTTAACCTGCATATTGAATAAAGAAATTATTAAGGAAATGCATTAATACTTGTATATTAATGGATCAGGGAAACAAACTACCTCAGCCCATGCAGGCTAGTAATTTTTGCAGCTTGCACTTTGTTAGTCAAAACAAAATAATGCAACTGTTCAAAATGAAAGGAAATCACTTACTGTGTCCAGAAGACTAAGTCATAAAATTTAAGGACTGGCATAAGTATTTCTGAAAAAGCCTCAGATTAGCATTTTTTAATCTGTGTATTGCTCCTTCACAGAGTTAAGAGACAGTAATATAAGATGACATTCTAACATCAATTTTCTACAAAATCATTACTGAATTCCATGAGTTTCCTCCACACATTAATGGAATGCCCGTAGAACTTTTCTTTTAAATAAATATTGTCTTCTTTATCGTAAAATATATTTTACTGAATGAAATGTTTTAGCCAGATAAGAACAGTAAAAAATAAGTAACTATTTTCTACGCAATTTATTTCTTGCTAGATTGATATCTTAAGAGAAAACATGATATTCATATATTAGTCACTGACATGAACATAGAATCAAAGAAAAGGAGTCTGCATAGCCCAGAAAGCCCAGGAAAATTTCTCACATAATCACAGGCAAAAAAGTGCAATACAACAAATAAAATAGTGCCTTGAACCAAGTGATTATGGAGATTATTATTGATATGATTACTGTAGACAGTCCTCATATCTGCTGAAAGTGCAGCACTTATCATATATTAAAAAATAATATTTACTTTCAGAATTTTTTTGTTTTATTAATTTCAATAAATGCATTTTTTTGCTAGAGACAAGGACTATTCAATAAAACATGCTCCGTTTGCTTACAAATAGTTCTGATTAACAGTTCAGGAAATTAGCTTTTTATTTAAATATGTGACAGCACTTGATTTATTTCAGTAAAGATTAAATCTGTAGTAGCTGACTACATTTTTTATCAGATATTTAGGGTTTTTTTCTCTGTTCAACCTGAAAACCATTTTTGCTACTAGGTAGCAAAGGAGATTAATTTATTAAAAAAGAAGTAGGACTTATCTATTTACCTTTTGATTTGTTTTATTTACCTAGCTTTATGCAAATTACTTTTAGCTTCTATTTGTCGAAACTTAAAGTCTTCTGATTTTCCCTTCATAAATGAAAATAGCCTGTATCCTTAGGCTGTAAAAACAAGAAAAAAAATTTAAAACTTTCACATTTTAATTATGTACATTCAAGCTATTTGGGTCCTAATTTAAGTACTCAGAAATAGAGGCAACCAGAGAAGTACCACTGTTTAAAACATCATAGTTCTTCTGATTTCTAACAATTCAGGTAAATCTCACTTATTATAAAAGTTCCATTACCCCCTTATTTCACAAAAATATATATGAGATCAAGACTCTAAAAATTCATCTGAATTTATATTTTATTATTTCTTGTCAAATAAAAAGAAATCACAGGGAAAATTTGCATACTTTATGTCTAAGATCACACAAAAAAATGAGTAATAAAAGGATGCAAGGATTTGGGAATGTGAGCTAAGGGTCACATCAGATAGTACAACTTCCAGGATAGCAGCTCTGTCATGTTATCTGTTTTAACTTATTTTGAAGTCCTTCCAATTAAGTGAAAGTCCTGTATTTACTGCCTTTTCAGTCATTCTCTTTCTTTCTTTTTCTCTCACAGAGAAATAAAACTATGTAGTTCATAATGTGTTTGCTCTTTCTTAAGCTCAAACTCTCATGTCTTTGACTAAATTCGTGGAGGTTCATAAATGGGGCCTACATAAAACATGCCACTTTTAATGTCAGATGGAGAAATACAAACATTCCCGCTGATTTACTGGAATTACTACTGTAATTCCAGCCTAGTCCTGTATCACAGATGACGTAGTTTGTCATACTCACAAAAATGCTAAGAAATGCTTTTTATTGGTATTCTGTCTTTGTAAGCAACATTTATTAGAAGCAGCTCTTAAATGAAAATTTTTGCTGCTTTTCAAATGACCTGTCACAATTTACAGATACTTCAAAGTTCAGGCAGCTCTCAGATACAGATGTCACACATTGTACCTAAAGTTTTT